AAATATCTTCAATACTCTTCTGGGATAAAAACTTCTATCCAGGAGGATGTGTTTTGTTTAATTCCACTCAGTAAGTTATAGATTATGGAGGATGAATGACCCAGGCAGAGCTGATAAATAGATAGAAACAACAGTGAGCAAGATGTACACCGTACATGATCCCAGGAAACTTTCAGGCCACAAAGAATCAGTTAATTTGGTCACTTGAGTACAAATAATCAATTGGTGTGGGATAATTGAAGTTTACCAAGGACAACACAACATATAGGAGAGAAATTCTCATTACTGTTAGTGTCAAGATTTTACTGAATCTACTCAACTCTGTCAAATACATTCCTTGAACTATGTCACATAAGCAGGTTCATTTCCACCTCAGTTTTATTTACAAATACCATAATTCAAAATAAAATTACATCAATAAAGAAAATCTTGATTAGGAAGAAGTTCTAAATCCTGCTTTGTGATCATTTCTAAAAAAGAATTAAGCAAATCAGAATGGAAAATATTCCTGCTTAGAGTCACCTAAATATAAATAACTAGATTTCACAAAACTAAGTTGCCAATGAACATAAGATGCATCACCATCTCCTGTGTACCAGTAAGAGAGAAAGAATGAAATGCTGCTAATTAAAAGATGACACACCCCATAGATTGTCAGATTAAATCCTGATATCAGAGATGTCAGATGTGTGCTTAGAATTGATGAATTATGATACTTTTTTTGTTTGCTCACCCTCCTCATACAGAACATCTAAAAGCTGGTCCAATGGAAGTTCACAACAAGTTAGCTTATTTAATTATTTAGACTCAACCTTGTTCCACAACTAGAAAACTATTAGTAAATTATTATTTTACCTATAAAATCCCAAAGAACAGACTATTGTTAAGCATAATCCCAATTGTGTAATGATTTATAAATCACAAGTATCAGCCTAAATAACTAAATGAAACATGGAGATTGATTTGTTAGCTAAAATATTAAAACACAAAGATGAGCTGGGCATGGTGGTTCATGCCTATAGTCCCAGCTACTTGGGAAGCTGAGGCAGGATGATCACTTGAGCTCAGGAGATCAAGACCAGCCTGAGCAACATAGCAATACTCCATCTCTAATTAATTAATTATGAAAAAAAGAAAGAAAGAAAGAAACAAAAGAAAAGAAAGATAGATAGATGGCTTAAGATGGTGGGCTTCACCAGAGAGGATGTTGTGGCTAAGAGCCAGCTCGGGTTTCATCAAGGAAGTGAAGCAGTTAATGTTAGAATTAAAGAGAAGACAACTGTTGATCCATTTATTGTAGCTGATTTTTGTTAACTAGTTACACTATCATAAAAGCCACATATTCCAGTAGTATATCATTTAGTTGCTAGAATGTTAACTAGTTTGATATTTAAAATTATAACTTTCTTTACTCCAACCAATTCCTCAGTTCCCAATGTAAAAATCTCTCTGCCATTATCTGTGGTTTTGTTTTGTTCCAATTTTAGAGACAAGGGAAAAGCCTTTGGGGACCCATGAAATGTCTCATTTAAAAATGATAACATAGTTAATAGTTATGTTTATCAATGTGAGAGTAATTTAGAAATTAAAACTACAAGTTTAAAACTTTCACTTCTAAGATTTAGTCAGTATTCAATAATTAAAAGAATTACGAATTTATCAAAACCGTACTAAGACCGTATACAATGTTAGATACTTAGCTTATAGCTCACAACTGTAAAGTAAATATGATTCCTATCCTCAGTAATAATCCCAAATTCATAGACCAGTCAACAGCCATATATATGGAATTACATACCACTTATACTGATTATTTTGCTTATAATAACTCACAATTATGCAGAAAAAGAAATCAGTTTCCTTTTTTTTTTCCTGGATGGACTAAAAATTAGACTGGAAGAGCATCAGAATTCAATTAAGTTTAGAATAGATTAGTACAGGTAGAGTTGTAACACAATAAAAGACATCAGGGGTTTTACAGTATTTTACAACATAAATCCAGAAGAAGCAGTGCTTTCTTTGTAGGACAGGTTTGGGGATGTTTAACATAATGATGAATGTCCACAATAACACCTTAATATGACACCACAATATGACACCTTAACCTTCCATTGCTTCAAACAAAGTCTTAAGGAATTGGAGAGAAAGTAGTAAAAAATCACTTTCATAAGATAGCGGGTAGAATGTTGTGAACACTGGACTTAGACTTAAATATGTGGGATTTATATCCCAAAGCTACCATTTAGTCTGAA